TCAATTAAACATATGCATATGGATGGCTCATGCCTAGACTCTTTCTTATATGCATTCATGAAATGAAAATATGCTATGTTGCATAAAGTAAGGTTCTCTACTTCTACTCATGCTTCTTTTAGGCACTTCATCAAACAATATGTGTGCATACATAAACCCTACTCTCACTATAGTTCTACTTCTTTCTTAACCATCCAAAATTAGAGTTCAACCCCTTCACATTATCACACATTCTGCAAAGAAAACACACTTCAAATATTCCTCTCAAATTCTTCTAATTCTATCCATACTTCTACCATAATTTATCAACACATTCCACCCTTCTCATGGTGGAAATTTCTCCATAAATCAACATTAAACTCATTCATAAAATCACCAACTCATTTCAAACATAAAAATACAAGCATTACTCATTTATAAAGCTCTACACATCATTCAATCATGCAAATCACAACTTAGGTGGATTTACTTACCTTAGGCTCAAGTAGAATCCACTTAAGCTCTCTACTTTTGATTGCTTGATACTTTCTCTTAAACCTTAAACACAAACTCAATAAGGATCCTATTCTTTCACCAATAAAATTCACATCTAGAGTAAGGATTCTCACCTTTAAGTGCTTAGGATCAACTTGTATCAATTTCTAGTCAAAAGCTCTTCAAAGATCCTTGGAAAATTGAATGAAAGTTTGAGAGAATTGAAGAATTAAAGAGGCGGTGGAGAAGAATGAATGAAAGGGTTTCTAAAGCTAAACCCTTAATATCTCATATTTTCTCCACTCTTTCCCAATATACCCTACTCCTTCTTTGAAATTCCACCTATGCCCTTTAATTCTTTGCAAAAACATCCCCATTCAAACTATTCTCCATGCAATTTCCTTGCATTTCACTCCCCACTTTTCTTGCTAATTAGGGATAGAATGGTCATTGAGTCCCAAAAGGAAGAATTATCTAAAAACTCAAGGAAAATTTCAGCCGAGTCTTTGCCGCGGCGAAGCTATTTCTTCGCCCCGACGAAAACTCACAACAGCTACACGGGGGTTGTAGCACTTCATCACAGCGGCGAAGCTTATTCTTCGCCCCGACGAAGACTGTAACATCAAGATTTTGCCAAGTCTTACAAATTTTCAGGGCAACCACTTAACCAACCTATATACCCTTTCAACCAAGGGCCAACCAAACAATATTAACAACATACAGACTCAAATGAGGATAAATCAATAAACATTCAAGCCATTCATCAAATCTTAACTACGTACCTCAAGTGGGGCGTTACACTCTCTTCCACCCGATGGGCTTGGTCCATTAGCCCAAATAAAGTTTTGGGTTGGCTCAACCTTAATTCTGCCTTGATGTCCTCCTTCAACCCATTTCCGAAAATTCCCTTCAGCAGCTTTGCACCCAGCTCCTTCAATGGCGCAGCATGAGCTTCAAATTGTTCTCTATATTCAGTGACTGTTCCTTCTTGTCTCAAAGACACCAAAGCTTCATACGCAGATCCCTTAAATGATAGGCGAAATCGATCGATCAGAGCTGCCTTGAATGCTTACCATGACCGAAATGGAGCTCTAAGTTCAACCCATTGATACCAACTCAGAGCTCGACCTTCCATGCAAACAGTTGCCACTTCTACCATCTCTGTTTCTTCATAATGGTTAATGGCGAAGTATCGATCCGCTCTAAAGGACCACCCAAATGCATCATCACCATTAAAGATTGGCAACTCAAGCTTACGTTTCTTCTTTTCCTCTTTCCCAACTTCACCACTGATCTCACGTTCTTGCCCCTTGTCATCATCGGAATTCTGATTCTCAACGGATGATGATGACTTCTCTTTCTCTCGGTATCTTCTTTCATCTCTTTCTTCCCTCATTCGCATTAACTCACGCATCTCCGTTAGATACTCCTTAACGCTACCCATATCAGTTTTCAACGTACTCATGTCGTTCTTCATAGTCTTCATTTCCTTCTCCACATTATCCATTCTATTCTCCATCTTAGATTTTACCATTCCCCAACCTCACTCTAATACCAATTTGATAGGACCACCTGCAAATCAATTCAACACACAGCCAAAAACAAGAACAAACGATGGACAAACTATTCTGTATAATCTTCAATCTGTATATTAATCAGGCAATATGTAATTGACAATTAGAAGAAAAATGAAATAAGAACAGTAGCCGAATAATCCTAGCATTTCGAGGAGCCAGGGACCTTCATTATTTACTCTAAAAAATATGCTTAACTTTTGCTACTAAATCTCAACAATATATATACACTAAGTTTTCCCGTAACTACCCCTCACTCACACATTTCTCACTCCCACAATATTCACACCCACATCACACCTGCAGACACGTGGACCCTACCCTTTAACAACCATCCTCAATGCCTATTACGTCCCTTAAGTGTGTACACCTTATGCACAGCAGGCCTATCACAGTCTTATAAGCGCAATAAACATCATAAAGCTCATTTGATAATATATTGAGAGTAGTATGGCGACATACTTTATTTCCTTTCTTCCATGTATCAAGTTTTTTGTCAAAATTGTCCACTCCAGGTTTTGGTTCTTTTATTGAGAGATATTCTGCAAAACCGCCACCTCTTGAAATGAACTTCAGCAAAAGGCTCAATTTTGGAGATGTCAGGAAGTGATTTGGCAGTGAGAATTGCAGCGTCCATCTCAGAAATTCTGATCTTAAGATTGTTGAATTTTAATACAAATAAGCAGTAAAACAGTGGAAGAACAGCAACAAAACAGCAGTAAAACAGCAGGAAAAACAACAGCGAGAACACCAGGAAAAATAGCAGCGAGACAGCAGTAAAACAGTAACGATACAGCAGTGAAACATCAATGAACACAGCAGCGAAACAGCAGCAAAACTGCAACGATACAGCAACGTCAAGGCGTGCAAAAGTACTGTCTTTAAAATCAGAATTCCGCCCCTACTGGAAGAATCTTCGTGGTGCAAAAAGGCTCAACAGTGGACTGACCTCCAGGATATAATGACGAACTTCTAGTTAAAGTGCACTATTTAACAGAAGCTTAGAACAATATGTGACAATGTAGAAGTGGTGAAGGAAAGAAGCAAAAGTAGATTCTATTGAGTGGAAAGATTGTACATCAAAGAAGAATAAACACCCCTTTACTTGACAATCCATTCATAACTGCCCTACTTTTAACTCTGTAACAGCCCTTATAATTGCCACCATTACACTCCAAATTAATATAAGAAACTGCCATGTTTTGAATTGCAGTAACCAAGCAATTTGCTTTCAAATAAAACAAAAACTGCAGTTACTTTTAATTGCATAACAGTCTAAACAATTGGTATTTTGAAATACCAATAACGGCTCAGCTTTTATAACAGATTTTGCTTACTTGATTTCTTGACAGGATCTTGCTGGGCATTTTCTGCAGTGGCAGCCATGGTAGGTGTTATCCAGATCAAAACCGGTAAACTGATCTCACTCTCATAGCGACAATTAGTGGACTGTTCCAAAAATGGTAACTGCGGATGCAATGGTGGTTAAATGAAGAACGCCTTTGAATATATTATGAACAACCAAGGTCTCACCACCGAGTCCAATTACAAATACAAGGGGTCAGGCGAAACTTGTGACAAAGAGAAGGAACATGAGCAAGCAGCAAAAATCGGATATTATGAAACTGTACCAACTAAAGATGAATTGGCATTAAGAAAAGCTGTAATCAGTCAACCAGTTTCAGTTTCTATGGATAGTAGCGCAAATACCTTCAAGTTTTACAAAAGCGGTATTTTTTATGGAGATTGTGGGACAGAATTAAACCATGCTGATGCGGACCAGATACTGGATAATTAAGAATTCATGGGGCGAGAATTGGGGAGAGAATGGTTATATGAGGATTAAGAGAGATGTTGATGCAGCCGAAGGTCTGCGTGGCCTTGCAATTTACGCCACATATCCTGTTGCATAACTTCACCAATAATTCCTAAATTTTAGCGCAACAATTTTTTTTTTTTTTTTTTTTTTCTTTTCTGAATAAGGCAGGATCGTCTATTGAATCATTGACGACCAGTCTTCAGCATAAGACACGCACCAATATATATGAACAAGAATTCTAATAGCCTTTCTGTGTATAGTTTATTCCATAGTTCAATGCAACAACAACAACACATAATTTTATGTATTCTTGAAACAATTACGATAGCAAAAACTAAATACATGGGCAGTGGTAGCTACAATTTGAATTGTAAAGCTGAGAAGACGAAATAATTTGCCAAACGATGGTATAATGAGATTAAATGGCTTTTCCAGTTGCATCAATAAGACAGAAACAGCATATAAAATCTCATTCAAATAGACATCAAACTTAAGGGAAACCTTTTAGACCAAATACATGCGTCCAACTAGTTCTAGGTGTCATAAGTACCTTCCAAATCACATACATGAATAACAACAAACACTACCAGGTCTGGAATAATCCATGTGAGAATGATGTGTAGTACATGGTTTCCACAAGCATTGAACATGCCATATTATTGTCAAATTTAAGATCAATACTTAATAACCAAATATAAAACAAGAGATTAGCAGCTGTCTGCACATAAGGTTAACAGATATAAGCTGATTTACATAGAGATTTTTAAGTTAGAAGAAAACCAGCTACTTTCTCAACTTGGTCTAGTGAAAGTTTCCAACCAGTGGAGATTGGAGTCAATATCAGATAAAGAACAATGCCCTACAGAAAAATTGAACGGAATGCATCCAAACAACTTCTAGTTAGTTGTGCACCAGTCATCATCATATATTCAATTCACCTATTGTAGGTGAACACCAAGGGGGAATACAAAATTTCGTCAGGCTTATTTCCTACTGGTTGGCCAGGATATTGGTAGAGGTACCGCCCTTTCTAAACATGTATTTGATGTTCTTCCATTTATAACAAGAAGTTTGTGTGGATTTCCAGATAGCAACTGCTCATAATAAATACATACAGTACAGATGTAAGGAGATGATAAAAACAAATTGAAATTCAATTAACCAAAAATTGCTCGAATGAAACAAAGAAGCATCTGAAAAGGTCAGATTAATCATTCAGTGAACAACATTGAATATTACAAATAACCTATTGGAAATGAGTAAGAAAGAGCACTTATGGACGCTTCCCGCTATTGTGGTTGGACTTTGGGCAAAGTACCCACCGTCCCTTGGCTCGTCGACGCTTCAACAATGCTCTTCCGCTAGTGGTTCTCATTCTTCTGCGGAAGCCATGAGTCCGAGCCAGGGATTTCCGAGACCTATTCCTCTTAGTTTGACAAAGCGCAGCCTTCCCAGCCCTCACCACTAGGCCATGGCCTTTCTCCTTTCTTACTGTGATGTTAGATTTGAAATCTACCCCCAAAGATAAACCTGTAATCAATCTATACAGTTAATAGGAAGCTCCCCAGCTCAAATAGATTGCTTTTCATGTCAAAATTTCTTTCAGATTCAAACATAGCAAATAATCTACAGCAAGGGCAAATGACCATAAGTCAGTGCAGTACCAACTCAGTTGAAAGATTTCAATCTAGACATGACACCTGTTTGAACAACAAGAAGCTTCAACTCTACCAAAAGTTATATATATTTCAGCTGAAATTCAGAGTTGCATTTACCAAAGAAACAAAAGTTCCGGAGTTCCTTTGCCATGGAAACAGAAAATGAACTAAAACATGAAAACCTCAAGGGCTTATGCAAAATTTCAAATTTTAACTTTTTTTCAATCTTCTAATTGCGTAGAACAAGGCAATCCAAAATCCATATACGATGGACTAAATCAATGTCAGTGTGTTACAAGTACAACACTAACAAGCTTTGCATCCATCCCTAACAATATAGCACAGCTTGATTAAGCTTTTGGGGATACTCTAGTTCTGGAATCAAAATGTGCCTTAAAACCTTTGTTCAGAAAAAAAGTGAAAATAAAAAATAATAATAATAATAATAATATATTTTTATAAGCTAATAAACCCGCTTTTAAACCATTTATTTTCTATTTCTAATTTTTGCTCCATTTTGGCCAGAGCATCTAAATCACAGTTAAAGTTGCATTTTGAACCTTCTCTTTCTAGTCTTAAAATCGAAAATTACATAAATTCTACCTTCCTAAAACACTAATCAATAATTACCCGTAGAAAAATTTCAAAGATGAAACCCAAAATTAAGCAAAAATAACAACTAAACAGTAAACACATAGCACTCGATGGACCCAAGAACCAAGGAAACATTAAAACCCCAAAATTGATATACAACTGAACAATTAACTAAATTTAAGGAATTTGGGTACCTGAAAATGCAGAAGGAAAAGAGAGAGAAGAAGAAGAGAGAAAAGAGGAGTGAAGAAGGGCAGAGCGAGAAGTGGGGTTAGTGGTAGCCACATTAACAGAGACAGAGCTCCTTCTGGTGAGTAGAGTGAGAGAAGCAGAAGGACTTCGCGAGGTTTTGGTTGTAAGCCACGGCGGTGGTAGTGATGATATGGTTGATACTGAAGCCATTATTTACCCAATCAGTCTCTGTTTTGGTGGTTTGCTTAGTTTTGTTATCCTCAACGAAACAAAGCTAAGGCAGTTGCCTTTATCATCGAAGACATTCAGTCCCTCTGTACAATAAATAATAAGATAAATGGATTTAAAATAAATGACAACCAAAGATTAAATTGTTTTATGGTTATTATTTTTAATTACTCAATATTCCCCTCTACCTAATGTAACCTTGTGAAATAGAAATACTGTATATAATAAATTCATAATGGTCTATTATTTTGGGTGTATTTTCTATGCCTATTTATAAGATTTATATTTTTTGTTCTTCATGTATCTCTAAAATTTCAATGTAAAATCATTATATTAATGCTTACTTTATAAAATAAAGAAAATTGTTCTCTGTGAAATCGGATCCAACCCATTAGAAAATGAGGTCTGCAGACAAAAATCATGAAGTTCTAGCCCATCTTATATTTTGGATCAAGCCCTGCCCAGTTTTCAAGGAATACCCTGTATCGGATGGCTGAAGTTCATTGCGCAATTATTCACGGTCCTGGCTGTTTAAGATAAGGCCCATTTTCTTGCTCCAGAAACCTCAAATCTTATTGAAATAACGGCAAGAATTAAGAGTGTCGTTATGAAATAAATATATAAAAGATAGGTAATATTATACTTATAACCCAATCTCACAAAATTTTTCTTATAATTTGTAATGTGGAATTTCACAATTAGTCAGTTTACAAATAAGTCCTGTTTGCTCAATTGCAAACTACCACGTCGGGATTGTGAGAGAAAAAATTGTTAGACTGGGTTATGAATCAATCTTTATTGATAAAAGAAAGTTTGTTAATTACAATTTTAAGTAAACAGTGGGGTCAATGACATTAGTTTAAGATATAATGTGTTGACATGTAAATATGGAATCAGAATATGTGACACTATTCTCATTCCTATTATATTTTAAATATTATTCTCTTTCCTTTATTGCATGTAATGTTTTTTTATCATTACATAGCTATCACACTTTTATATAAATAGACTGTGTATTCACATACAATTCACAATAACTCAATACAATTAAATTGAATTTCTCTTAGATATCTTCGGGTATAATCCAACCCTTTTAGTTATTTCTCTTGTTCTCTTAAAGATATCTCTCGAACATACTTTTGACTTTTTTCAACTGTCTCTCTTACTCTCTTACTTATGACATGATATCAGAACTCTTATCACAATTCTGACATAATAGAGTTTGTCTCAACTCAAGCATGCAAATTATAATATCCTTTGGTTCTTTTCATACATGGATATAATTTCTTTGTCAATAAACTAACAAATGTTAGAATATTATTGTAAGTTTCGTAGAGAATCAAACAACAATTGATGCATTTTTTACTGTTTATTAACTATACTGACAAGGGATTTGATAGAGACTCATTGCTTATCACCATTACCTAACTAATTCTACGCCTACGCCAGCTTCCTCACAAACAAAAATAATAAATAAATAAATAAATAAAGATTTATCTACCAACAAGTTTCATGCAATCAACATTTTGTTGTGGCCGCCACCACAAACCTTTAACTAAATCATATATCTTGTTTGCTTCATCAACATGCAATGCACTTGGGGCCAGCTCTTCCACGTACACACTAAAACCAGCTGATTAAGACCTCAATCTTTCCAACTCAATTAAGTTTCTAGTACTGGAGGATTCAATGACGAATACTCGAGTTTATGTATACTTGAAGGAACATATGATGCTTTCACTTAAGAAAATATTGAGTTTGGTTTTCAAATAAAGTATAGATCTCGTAATATGAAGAAATCAAAACCATAACCACAAAATAGTCACAAACACACTAAGAATAATACTCTACTCATAATATTTCTTATTAACTTTCTCTCACAAACGTGATATGTCACTCGTAATTGGTCAACTCACATGGGTCTCACTGTTAACAATGGATCCCGCCTGACCAAACTATTGTAAATGTCACGTCGGTTTGTGAAGAGTGTTAGTGAGACGTGTTTGTTAAGTTATATTTATTTTAAAACTAAAGAGGTAGTGTATTCAATTGAAAAGGGAAAGCTGTTCTCCCATTAGAAAAATGGAGGTTAACAGATAAGGGATTATGATTTGTATGGAGGCATGCATGTATTTTTTTGTCAACTCCTACTAATTTTATATCAAGCATATGTAAGCTGCCGTTTTCTGCATTGTCTTTATCCTTGAGTTGAAAGTTGAAGTCACGTAAATGATAATAATGCCGTTTTGGTGAAGAAGTTGATATAATTAATGGATTCATGGGCGAAACTGGAAAAAGGGATGTGTAATGTCTTCCTTATGAAAAAAGCAACTCATTGGTCCCAAATATTGCAGTGGACCTCCACCATTTTGCGCTCAGCCCAACTGTAGCCCACCACAAACCTCTACCTTCCATGCTTTGACAGTTTTGACTCCACTTTCCACCCACCTTGCATAATTTTTCATTTTTTGTGCATTCCAACGACAATATTTTGTTCATAAATTTGAGAACCATCTTTTTTTTTTTTTTATTTGGAATGGGATGTCTAGATAGCTCTTCAAAACCCTAAAACTATTAGTCAGATAAAAACTCATGTGACCACTTCTATTAGAAATTATGAAAACTTGAACTCAGAAGATCATATTAAATCATTTTCTTGTTTTTTTACTATCAACGGAACTCAAACTTACGAGACGGATTCTCATTTACTCTCTTATCATATTTTTATACTTTGTTTCAGGTAATGATGTCACATTGACAAAATTCTCTTTGAAATTTGACCTTGAGCTTAAGGCATATCTTTTATTTGGTTATTGTCTTAATCTGTAAAGCAGTCCCGTTAAGTCTTCTAGCTTTTGGATGATAAATAAGGTAATTATACTAAAGTGTGTTCCGGAATCAGCACAATTATCACAAAAAGCAGCAGTACGGGTCCATAAAACTAACTGTTCAACCCAATTGGACGGATTTAGCACTTATTATTTGTTAATGTTTCATTAATAAAAGTAATAAAGAGAGATCGAGGCATTGCCTTTCAAAGTTTCAACACTGAAAGTTATGGATTCATCCAATTGGTGTACCCTTTTTAGTTTATAGCCTATGGCATCTTAGATTATTAACTATTAATCAATTATCAAAGCAGCCATTTTTGAATGGAAATGGAATATATATCTTGAAATGTCTTTATATAAGTATACACAGGACCACCACAGCCATAGATTAGTTAACATCACACAACAATAATGGCATTAAATTACAATCGGTGAGCTGTTTTGCAGTACAGGATTGAAGCAACACTCAGACACTAAAGAATACAGTATCAATATTTCATTCATTTTGTTTCATCTCCCATATAGAAAAACTCTCAAGGGAGGAACCCCACCTTGCCCTTCGCAATGAAAATTTGTAAGCTTCCAGGCGTTTTCGACCCACCAGCTAATTAAAGTGCTTCCACTTTCTTGTTTTAGAGATAATAATACTCCATCTGTGTGGATGGAGTTAGCACTACAATATTGAATATCCTTTTCAAAAACAAGGGCCTTCGCCTTCGTCATCTTTAAAACAAAAATATTTGTTTAAATGATAAGATAAATTAGATAATAAAGGGTGTAGAAGTCTTCTGATTATATTTTATTCAATAATTAAGGGCCGCCATTTTTGTAAAAATTGGAAGCCAAGCAAATATTATCTGTTTAAAATGATGGATGATGAAGATTCTTTTCGTTAGGTCATGCCATCATTGCAATCTTTTTTTTTTTTTTTTTTTTTTTAATGACTGAGAGCGTTCGAACTAACTTACAATACTTCAATTAATCATTAAAAACCTTAAAACTATCGACTGAGTAAGAGTTTTAATAGTTACCTCTATTAACAGTTAAAGAGAGATTCAAATTCAGAACCTTTAGAGTAATATAACCAAGACTCCTTATCAAATCACTCGACCATCCAAAAATAGTTATCGATAACAATCTTAAGCAAACCGAATCAACGTGTGCAAACAAAACAAATGGAGAAAACTTTAATAATAATTAAGGGTTGATATAAGAATAAGAATCTAACTTTTGAGGAAAGAAAGGAACTGATCTCCACTAATGAGAGATTAGACAATAACCCAAAAACAAGATAAACACAACACCAATCAAGAAAATGTGTGATCTTAATCTTTAATCATGTTAAACTAAAAAAGGATTTTGGCAAAGGTAGCTGACTTAGTGGACCTCAATAGACTGTTCACCAACCTCACTTTTGGAGCCAATCGAAGGTGGGTCTCACACTTTACAAAACGGGTCCATCTACCCGGAATGAACCATTTGATATTGTCGTTAGTTCCCGGTGCCTAAACCTGAACCACCAAAGTCGTGGACCTGCTCTTGGTGGCACAGACTGTCGGCTATCTTGGAATGGCATTACTGACTCGGTTATACTAAGATTAATTAATAGAATGAAAATGATATCCAAATTCCTGATTAATATCAACTTTGTCCTTCATTTATTATTATTATTATTTTTTTAATGATACACAGTATCCATACTAATTTACATGTATTTCAATTAATCTTTCAGGATCTTAGAACTATCGATTAAGTAATAACTTCAATTGTTACATCTATTAACATTTGTAAGGACTTGAACTCAAAAAACCCTATTAGATAATTTTCTGGCTCTTTTACCATTAAAGAGACTGCACTTGGAAAACTATGTTGATCCTCCGTTACTTTTTTAATATCAAACAACTCGGTGGTGGTTTTTGTCTTTCATTTATTTTGTCATACACCTTGTGATTACCTTAGGTTTTGGACAATGATTATGAATTTACACTTGGTTAATTGTCAATTATCAATATCCCCTTCTGATGTGTATGCTGTATTGTGCCACTTGACTTACGCTATAATTGCCTTTCTGTTAGTATCTTTTGCTATAAATTTTGGAACTTAATTCCAAAACATTGGCGTTTTCACATGTCAATTCAATATTAATGTTTAAGCATATTTGAATACGTTGTCATAATCTAAATTTATACATTTGTATAAAACCTAACAAGCTAAATATTTACATGTCCATTTTTAGTATAGTTTTTTTTTTTATATAATTGGATGTTCGAACCAGTTTATATACACCTCAATGAATCTCCTGAAATCTTGAAACTATTGATCGAATAAAAACTTTAATGATCATCCTTAAAATACATTTAAGAATCTTAATCGTACCGTTTTGTCATAAGGATGGTTCTTTTGTACTACAGCTGTTGGATAGTTCTTTCGTAGTACAGCTGTTCAGTCGTCTTGTTGGTTTTTATATAGCTGAATTTATAATAGTTTTATAAAACAAACACATGGTTTATGCATGCGCAATATAATTCATAGTACATGATTGAAATGTCCCGTGACAAGCATACTGCATACCTGTACAATGTACAAAGGAACTTTACAAAGAATCCTATTTCATACAAACATTTTAATTTTTTCAACAAAACATAAACTTAGAATTTCAACCCCCAGAAAAAACACCTTACACAAGAAAGAAGAAAGAAGAAATCCAATAATGCATCCAATATTTCACGACTCATGTCAGAAAATAAAAAATCAGTGTCCTCTATCTTTCTCACTCCATGTGAACCCACCAAAACCTTTCTCTCTCCTCTCTCCTCTCTCTCTCTCACTTTTTTCAGTATATAAGCTCAATTCAGATCTCTCTCAACTAGTTTTTTTGCGGACCCAGAATCCATTATGGGGTTAGGGTGCAGGTGCGGGTGCCAGGTTTTTTTGTCTTTGTTCTTGTGTGTATTCCTGTTCTTGCAACAAGCCAATGCACAACAACACTATTACAATATAACCCGTGTATTGAAAGGAAGAAAACAAGTGAGTGGTTGCAATTTGTTTCAAGGCAAATGGGTGCCTGATGCTTCATATCCTTTATATGAATCCTCAGGTTGTCCCTTCATTGATGCTGAGTTTGACTGCATAAAGTATGGAAGACCTGATAAGCAGTTCCTCAAGTACTCCTGGCATCCTGACTCTTGTGTCCTACCAAGGTAAATTATCACGAAACCATAAAAAAGGACTCCCTTTTATGTATCTTGCTATAGTGAAAAAAAAAACAAAAAAGTGATTTTTATATTTTTTGGTTTGGTTTGGTTTGAGTTGGTAAAGGTTTGATGGAGGGGATTTTCTGAGGAGATGGAGAGGGAAGAAGATAATGTTTGTGGGTGACTCACTGAGTTTGAACATGTGGGAATCATTGGCTTGTATGGTTCACGCGTCGGTGCCGAATGCCAAGACAACTTTTGTGAGGAAGGACTCACTGTCAACTGTGTCTTTTGAGGTCAGTTTTAATTTTGGTTTTACCCTTTTTTTTTTCTCAAATGAAACTTATCAACAAAACTCAATCTTTCTCTGTTTTTCATTTTTTTTTTTTTTTTTTTAATTTCTTCATTCTCCTTCCCCAAAGAAGGATTACCATTTCCAAATTCCAATCCAATCTTCTTCCTGCTTACCTTTTACTTTTTTTAATCCCCTTTCTTATTTTTAACATTTCTGTTGGATAGATTTGTTGTTTCTTATGGATAGGAGTCAGTTATTTAGTATAACATAATCTTCAGCTAATTTGGTATAGGATGAAGACGAGAGAAGCTACATAATAGACCCATCACCCATATATAATTAATTTCTTCGATAGTTACATATAAGTGTGCAGTCTTCCTGATGTTTTCGGATAGGCAAGAACAATAGAATAGTGAATGAAAGCAGTAAAAAGTGGCGTCAAAATAATTAAATTATAGTGATTCTTTGTTTGCCTTACTTTTTTCTGTATATTAATCTTTATTCCTACTTGAGAAAAGGTAAGAGAATGAATAGAGAACCAAAACCATGGAAGAATCCAAGATAGGACCAGTATGTAATAGCTATTGAAAAGTCTCACATGGGTTGTGGGTCAGTTTTGCTCTACCATAATTATTTCTGTATATATTTGTGTATAATTTTTTCTTCTTCCCTAAATACATGCATACTTGCTAAGCTATGAGCCTACTGTTTTTTTTCTTTTGGCAATGATAAAAGAAACCATCCAAAGACTGCTGTTTTCTTTCAGTCCAAACTCCAAAGTCCAAACCCCATCTCTTTTTATTTTTTATATTAAGTGGTTTGTCTTTCTATATAATTCCTTTTGACTTGGCTGAAGAATTTGGGGATAGAAGAATTGCATGAATTGCATAGATCTTAAGCAACACACACACCAATTCACAGCTGTAAGCCAACCCGTATTTGTTTAGCCGTCTCTATTCAATTATTTATGTATAAATTAATCGTACAACTGCCGGCTGCCTTTCGTTAGATTAAGGTCTCCTTCTCTTTATTTGACATCTCATTAATGCATTTAAAATATTTAGTTGAAAACTCCTTTCAAATAAATCATTGTTATTCATTGAGTCAGCCTATGGCAGCGCCCTTTGTTGTCTTGAATTTACGCCTCCTCAATTATTAACTCTTTAATGCAATTAAGTTATTTTGATTTAATATATTTATAATCAATTACACATTATTATTATTATTATTGTTAATGTGCAGGATTATGGGGTAACTCTGCTTCTGTATAGAACGCCATATCTAGTGGATATAATTAGGCGAAAAGTAGGACGAGTACTGACGCTAAACTCAATCCAAGCTGGAAATGCCTGGAAAGACATGGACATGCTCATCTTCAACTCATGGCATTGGTGGACTCACACCGGAAGTTCTCAGGCGTAAGCTCGCTTTTCTATTTTTCCAAAATCATAAATTTTAACGAGCAAAAGTTAACTAAGTTTTTGTAATGGTGTGCAGATGGGATTATATTCAAGATGGGCAGGCATTGTATAGCAATATGGACCGCCTTGAAGCATTTAGCAAAGGGTTGAGTACTTGGGCTAGATGGGTTGATCTCAATGTTAATCCTGCTAAAACCAAAGTTTTCTTCCAGGGCATTTCTCCAACTCATTATATGTAAGTGGAAAAGTACCTCTAACTGTTACAATATTTGATTTTTTGGTTTGTGAAAGTATCTACTAAGGTTTCATTCATATTGTGTTTAATTTAACCAGGGGGAAGGATTGGCATTCAACGAAAAAGAACTGCTTGGGAGAATTAGATCCACTCTCAGGATCTACATATCCGGCAGGGGCACCTCCAGCTGCGGCTGTAGTGAACAAAGTATTAAGCACAATGAAGAAGCCTGTTTATTTGCTTGATATAACCACACTCTCGCAATTGAGAAAAGATGCTCATCCTTCAAGCTACAGTGGTGACCATTCCGGTACGGACTGCAGCCACTGGTGCCTTCCAGGACTGCCTGATACTTGGAACCAGCTCTTGTATGCAGCTCTTGTCATGTGATTCTGAAGGGTCAATACGCTACACAACAACAGTTTCTGTTTTTAGTTTTTTTTTTCTATACAAATTGTTTATAAATTATATTTATGGAGGTGAAGAAATTTCTCAGAACAATAAGGAGGCAAAAAATCAATTTTAAAGTGATTGATTTTTTAGACCAAAATAATTGCTTTCGGATTGTAGGAAGGTGTAATTGACAGATGGTTGATGGCTATCAAAGGGAAGTGTGAATTCCGTATTGTAAACTTTACATTTGTCCAATATAGATTTACTTAATTGTCTGTGTTTTCATTTAACTTGATGGTTGATTCTATGAACAGTTCTGAAAAGTATAGTCACACAAATTCAAAATATTTTATTTAAAACAAGTATAAAAATATAAAAATATAACCTCAAGGGAGGTTTGTTTTCTTTCTTGGGTTCAAACCTTTGAATTACATACTACAATAACATTATGACTTACTTATCTTTTTAAGTTTGTAAGGTGTTTAATAAACTTTAAAGATTAATTGAGACGGATGCAAGTTGACCCGATACTCCGGTTACCAGAAAATATAAAAAACAAAGTGTCAAAAGTTTCCACGGGCCATTAAAAGCAATTCTTGTTTCAAGAAATTACAAGAGGTAGGTGTGGTGACTGGTGAAGGTTCTAACGCTGCCACGATCGACGATCCTTATGTATCAATCCATATTTTAAATGTTAAATTCAACACAAATGAGAAACCCTCATATCTCACAGAATCTGGGTAACAGTAAAAGTACTATTGGGCATTTGAAGAGTTAGTCCGTGAACACAAACAAATTATTGTTGGAATGGAAGAGTTAGTCCGTGAAGTTATGGGGCCAAGAGCCAACTCAATGGTTACTTTTCCAACTTGAAAATGACACAGAAAAGTCGAGAATTCCATCTACTAAACAAAATAACAAAATCCCATTTTGCATTTTACAGTGGATGATAAGTGATAACCACAGCAAGCTTAAACAAGAGATCAGAGTTGACAAAATTCTAGTATCCCACATATACTGCAGCATTCACTATGTAACAGTCATCATTTTTGTCTCCCATTTCTTCTACGTACACACCACTCGAGCATATTAATCCTCCATCAACAACTTCAACGTTCAATATTTTCCCACTGCAAGTATTAAAGTACATTTAAAAGTTAGCAAGGATTGAAGGAATCTCAAAGATTCTTAGTTTAAGTTGTAATCAAACCACAAATTGTGCAGAGTAATACCAAGAAGAAACTCGAAATAAACAATACTGAGTTTTATTTATTATATAATCATGCAGAAACAATGATGAAAGATTTCTACAGTTTGTGAACAATATGCACAGGTATGGATCACAAAGTTGCGTGTTTTACCCAGAAATAAAAGCTCCAGTTTTGGGTAAGTGCTTTAAATTTAATTTTGTTTACGACCTTCAACAAGTGATTATTCATAGCTTGCGAAGACAGCGCTGCAGCATAGTTAAGTCCACATAATAGAATCCCTGAGGGATATAGTCAAAGAGAAAATAAACAAAAAAGATTTTTTTTTTTTTTTTTGTTAGTGTAAGCCACGAGATGCCCCCACACCCGAAGGTATGGGACTAATCCCCGTTCCAGGGTTCGTGGGATGCCCCTGGTCACAAGTTGCTTCTAGTGAGTTTAAAGTCTGCCCAACAGGGTGTCCATTTACCATCTGGACCACACCCTCGTGGTTTTAAAAAGAAAAAAAAAAAAAAAATTCTTATGACTTCATTCCCACAACTTCCCATACCTAATGGCCAGGTTCTCTAAACACATCCTTCGTGAAGAGTGGTGTTTGTTAGACAAGAACCTGCTGCTGTATAAAGGCAACCAATCAATAGGAGTAGTTCGAAACTGAGCAAGGGTTTTACCGACGGTACAGGTTTTCAATGAAGAAGAGTTGCACATCTTAATTACAAAGTTTACCAGCTGTGCTCTTCATGTTGACAGACAATGTCACAATTATTAGATTTAGTGTAAACTTTTTGGATATCAATAACTTTCAATGCTACTTACGCAATGCATAATTTACTCAGTACATATCAGCGCACTGAAACTACCTAAAATAATTTACATAACTTGGAACTGCAATACCTACCATCAATCTCACCACGTTACATATGATTTTTACTCTCTTTTGGTTCAAGCACTGACAATGCAAAAAATTAACCCAAGTTTCAGTTATCTATCTAACACATAGCACCCAAGAAACAAGAAGTGAATATTGATGCTTCCAACTTTGACAAATATAAAAACTCACTAAGGAAAGACTGATTTGACCCTCTCGATATCCAACGACTGCTGGAGAGAATGAGGGACTCCTAGCTTGATCAGTAGTTTCATTTGTTCAAATGTGACACCAGGTATTGACCCTGCAACCAAATCAGCTTATCATAGCTAACAATAAATGTATACTAAAACACCACTACTGTGATACTAGAAACTAAATTCTGAAATATGATAATGCCAAAATAGGCAAAACTATTAGAAAGAATAACATTCAGCCAATAAAAGATATTTGTTATATGAATAGCTGAGGTAATAAAGTGTATCAACTAAATTTATAAATTTATTAATTCTTTGTTTGCTAGAGTTATTAAAATCATCAGTTTGGTACCACAAACGTAACACTTTTATTCCACTTAGTTGCTTACTTTTTGAACCTAAAAGGCTAAAACCTCATACACAAGTGATCTATATTGGAGTAATTAAGATGCATAGCTATCACACCCAAACACTGTTGTCATGAATAAATTTGGTGTAGAATGTGTACAGGAATTTGTTCTCACTTTTGGAAACAAAAATGCTTGATCTTGAGTTTACCAAAATACCAGACTTTTGTTCTTTGGAAACCATTCTTAGCCAAGGCTTTCAGAACACAATTTCCCAAAACTTAAAACAACAATCTAATGTTACTAATCATTCCCTTCCGTCAAATTTGACAAACCTAGAAAATCAAACGAAAACAAAACATAATTCAGAAGAGAACATTCCTCTTTCACCAATCCAAATAACAATTTCAAGTAAAGCATAAAATATCACATTCTTCCAATCTAATACCGCATACATAATACACAATAAAAATCCAATCTTTACTAGTCTGAACCTAAAACCATTAAACTTGAACACGGAACATGAAGAGAGATCCAAAATTGACAGAAACCCAACAAAGATATACCTCTCCTAAATGCAGGAATTGAATTGGACGAGATAGCATCCCTGCAAGCCCTCATAGCTGCAGCCGTAACATCTTGCCTATTGGGTAAAATTATACATTTATCAAAATCTCATCTCTCTATAATTCAACAAGCAATACAGAATCTACAACAATAATACGAGTTTATGTTTATACATACCCATGTTGATCGTAGCCAACACCCATCTCTACAAATAAGAGTTTCAAGGAAGGGATTGTGCTGCCACTTTGCTCGGCTGCCATGGTTGAAGTAGTAGTGGTGGTGGCTTTAACTGGGTGATAAAATCTATGGTGTGGAAGAGATGATCGGTTTATGAGAGAAACATCAATTCTGTTCGATGAATATTGAGAGCGGATATTAATAGGCCTTGGGCGATTGAGAGAGCCAAACCCAGTTGAAGAAAGAGATGGCAAATTTAGATCCAAGCAGCGATTCATTTCATGCGCTCAGACAATAGTACAACATGACACTAGCCTCAACTCAGTTGAGTTTTTGAGTCCAACTCAATACCAGTCGTTTTTTTTTTTTTTTAAAAAAAAAAATTTCATTTTAATCTATCTTTAATTATAAGTAGAAAAGAAATCGCTAATAAAATTTATAAAACTAGAAATAAAAGATTTTATGATGATTTTTAAAGAAGGTTTTAAAAGAATTTTCAAATTTTTCCACTATTTTTCAAGAAGACCCAAGCCCAAGCTGTTTTGGCAAAAGTATAAAAATCTCCTACAAGCTACAATGCAAACTTTTTACGTAAATTTATAATATAAAATTTAGAATTAGAGTAATTCAAAATATCATTTATTAATTTTAAATTTTAAAATCATGAATTAGAATATTTATTTTTAAATTTAATTTATCAATGAGTTTAAATGGACAAAAAAGTTGATGGTATCCATACATTGAAAAATAATAACTTCTATTACAAACTTGAATAAAAAAATTTGTGTTAAAAAAACTTGATTCGAAAAACTAATGTATCTAAATTAATTTTTATTGTCTATTGCAAAGCTTTAAAATTTAGCAGTCATGAGATAGTTTTATAATTATAGTAAATGTAAATATGAATTTAAAAAGTTCGAGGTGCGTTTGTTTTATTATTTCCAATCTTATCAAAATACATGTTTGTTTAATTATTGAAAAATACTATTCTTTTTTTCAATTACTTTTAGACTTCTTAAGTTTATTAATTTAATTAAACACCCCTAAAAAAGAGTTTAAAAATTAACAGAAACACCCCCACTCACCCATAGTTGCTAGATTCCGACAACCACCATCGACGATTGTCGAAATCTATACAACAGCATAGAAACGATCGAAATTGGCAGGTAATTCACCGATCTGGTTTTTTTCGGTCAGATCCACAGTGGATCTGACCGAAAAATGCTAGATCTGGCCCCATCGTTGACCGACAATGACGGCCATATCTTTGGCCATCGCTGACAGCCAAATCTGGCCTTTTGCAGCCGTCGACAGCTAGATATGGACCACAGATCTGGCCGGAACAGGCCATATCGACGCACGACTGGCCAGATCCGATCAGTCTGCGTTGTAATGCCATTTTCCGACAAGATTCCGGCGGTGATGGCCGAAATCTGGCATTGTGGATGGGTGGGGGTGTTTTTGTCATTTTACAAAATTTTTATATATTGGGGTGTTTAGTTAAATTAGCAAACCTATGAGGTTTTTTTGTTAAATTTTAAATTTTACCTCGTAATACTCATCATATTCAACTACCCAATATTATTCCCAAAATCATATCCAAATTAACAAAACAAACACAACCTTGGCTTCCCTGTCATGGCACAAACTATAGTCATCTTGATTTGACTAAACATTACATAGCTTTAGTTCAAATATTTCTGCTACTAGGTGATCTCCATCTTGATTTATTGCCTCTCTCTCTCTCTCTCTCTCTCTTCTTTTCTAGATTAAAATTTTCTGCAACTAGCAAATCTCGTTGAGTGATGAGTTTTTTAACCCGGAAACCTCTCATTATATCAATATCTTTTCTTCATTCTTTAACTCATAGGAAATAGTTTTGAATTGAGATATTAGCCTATTGAATTTATTTAAATAATCATGGAGACTCGTACCTTCATCCATATTTAAAGAATACAGATCCATCTTTAAATATAATCGATTAGCCAACGATTTCAACACATAAATGTCCTCCAATTTTTCTCACAAATCTTTTGGTGTAGATGCTATACTTTATCTCTAAAGCTAGGACCAATCTGATTGTATTGATAATTCTCATTTGAAGGCTTTATTGTACTTAAAGGTCTTGTATCATATTTTGCCATCACATAAAATTAATTTTACCCTTAAATAAAGGAGCCTCGAAATTAGACATACCTTCATAAATTTGAGATGCCTAACAATCGCTGATTAATCTTAAATGTAGCCTCCTCTCTATCTTGCTTCTTTCAGATTACGAACCTTAGACTCTAATACCACTTGTTGGGAAAAAAGATTCTCACAACCAAACGCAAAGTTAAAGCAAACAATTAAAAATAAAAGAAATCAAATGTAAGAATTTGAAAGTGGTTTGACCAATCAATTTAGCCTACATATATTATCCATCGAAATAGTCCACTAAACAAAAACTTACTGTTGTGTAATTTTTAGAAAAGAAAAATTACAAACTCGTTACGTTATCTTAAAAGTCTAATTATACAGTAAATAATAGCCAACAACAACTATTCTTTTAATGTTTTTTTCTTTATCTTTTTGAGATATTTTAGAAGTCTGAACTGTTAGTAGGAAAGTCCCTTGCAACTCTTATTCCCAAGCGAAGGCACTATCCCAACAGTAACTAATGAGATGCAGAAGCATTTGAAAAAGAGCATTAATTGCAAAAATTGAAAAAGTTGGGTCCAGTTCGTCAGGAATATCGGATTTAAGACCCCAGTCCCCAGCATCAGTCATCAAACCAATCGGCTATGTTTTTGTGTTGAACCTTCAGCATTTGATTCTAGAAAAGCTAATTCCAGACATACAACATTTCAATTCAGGCGAGTCACAAATATATATTGGTCTCATAAAACATCTAAAATCATCAGGTTCGATTAATCATCTATTATGTAATTGCCACATGAATTTCATCGTTTTCTGTTAGTGAGGAATATTGGCCTTGGAACTTCGAATCGTCCAGCTGGTGACATTCAATGCCAATTGCCGAAGCTGAACAAATACCATCAGAACTGATAGGCAAAGCAAGTAACATAATGTAGAAAGAAGGATTTTATAGAGTAAGTTTAATCTAAAATAATGGACTGTTTTTAAGTTAGAGGATTGCAGAAAATGTAGCGGCACCACATCCTATTTACTGGTTTACTTTATATTTTAAAACAGCTTCTTGTGTTAGAAGGTGCGAAATTTTGTTAAATACTGCGAGACAAGCATCAGAAGTAAAAAATAAATTGTTGATATAGGATCATTTAATCTTACTTTAATAATTAAATGATAAATCCATCTTAATGCAAGGTGGGATCTTGCAATCGTAGCGGCACCACATCCTATTTACTGGTTTATATTTTAAAACAGCTTCTTGTGTTAGAAGGTGCGAAATTTTGTTAAATACTGCGAGACAAGCATCAGAAGTAAAAAATAAATTGTTGATATAGGATCATTTAATCTTACTTTAATAATTAAATGATAAATCCATCTTAATGCAAGGTGGGATCTTGCAATCGTATTCACAGACACAGTGTTCTATCTTTACAACAGAAAAACTGGTGGCATTTCTGAAGCTAAGTTTGCTACAGATTAGCAAGTTGTAGACCTGCATACAAATTTCTGGTGAGGTTGGTTTTGGCATTGAACGTGGCATGATCTGGCTTTATCTCTCAGCTCTTGGAATGCCCTCATTGTTTCCACATCAAATCCTCCAGCAAACTGTCAAAAATAATAATGTATTAGTATCATCTCCTCATCAGTAAATACTGAAATTAGTGCGACTTTGATTTGGTACCTGATGTACACGGAAAGCAAATCTAACACCTTGCACAATTAGTTCCTCTTCTTCGGGGCTACCACCAACCATTTCAAGCTCAGCGGAAACTCTCTTCATATACTTCATAGCTAATTTAACAGATGCCAGTTTAATCTGCAATTATGCACACCATTGTTGCACAATTATGAGCCAAAGATAATAATAGAGGTAACAACATCATGCTCCAAAAACATGAAGAAAACTGTAAGAAGATTTTGATCTATTATTTTAAAATACAGATATAAATATCATAGCATAGACCCAGATTGACAAATATGTCAATTACAACTATCTGGAAACAGAATAATATTGTTCTAATATTCAGCTAAATATAAGTCGGGTTCAAACGAGAAATATAAATATATCTATAATTTTGGTGATGGGATTATATAATAAATTATACACACACGAATTGGATCATTATTTCTCTAAAGTTTCTTCCTTTCTCTATGCAATTTTTAAAAGAATCAACAAGGTCTTAGATCTTTCCTGTCCTTCTTAAGCAAAAAATGGATATAAAAACATGGATGAATTTCGAAGAAAGAGAATCTGACATAAATAATCTTAAAGTGAAGAGAAGGAGACAAGCAAATAAATTTAGAAATCTGGGTATTCACATGTGCGCATGCAGGCGTGGGCAGAGAAAATGAGGCATAATTTAACCTTTCCTTTGTCATCTTGCAACCGCTACTACTTACTATCCCTCTTACTATAATAATAATACAAAGAAGACAATGTCAAAACAATTTTCTCTTGTACCTCTCCCAAGATTTGTAAACTCTGATTACCTTAAAAAAGCACCTAAATGATAACTTTCTACTATATCTTATTTATTTTTTATTTTTTAATAATTAGAGGTGTCCGGACAAGCTTATACGTATCTCAATTAATCTTTCACAGTCCTATCGAGCAACTTGGTCACCCAGAGATAGTTTTTGTACTATATCTTAGCTTGAGTAGAAATGACTAATGAGTGAACCAATTATCACCCATTTGGTGCCGTCCCATAACGAAATTTTATTATTCTACAGGTTAATTGTAAGCTAAGCATCATTAAATTGAATTAGTTAGTAGTTATTTACCTGGCTTACAATTCCAGTTTCCAGCATCCAGTCCATGGGAATTTGAAAACCTTTGTATCTCTTAGCGGCGGATTCTCTCATTCGTGAGAGATTGTAAACACCATGCTCTAACCTGTTGCAGAAAAAATTAGCAACTAATGTTTGATTAAATGAAATAAAATTGATTAAAAGAAAAGAGGGAAAAAAAAAAAAAACCATACTTTTCAAGCAGAGCCTGCATTTTCTTGAGGGCAGGACCGCATGGCTGGCGGGCATCATCACGAAACGAAGAAGCCTCAGACTCGAGCTTCTTGAGATCACAATATCCAAATGCAGCCTCCCGCAATGCATCCGCCTTCTGCTCCGGCCACTCGAAGTGCTTAAGCACAGCTCTTTCATCCACCTACAAATTCATCAAACTCAACATTCAATATCAGAATCCCATGATCTATAACAACTAAATTCAAAATCCTGAAACGAAGTTACAAAATGTACCAAGTAAGAAAGCTCGTCGTCCAGCCATTTGACAAATGGAACAACATCCTCAATATCTGTAAATGCAGCATTTTCTACTTCTCTGATCAGAAACCTGATGAAATCTCTCTGTGTCTCTACATCTGTTTTTATCTGCAATTTAAAAGTAAATAAATTGTTAAAATTGCCATAAAAGTCCATCAAAATTTAAATTACACTTTTATCTAAATTATTTAGTTTCACCACCGACTTGGAATCTAAACACTGTCTTTATCTTAACAAGAAGACAATAAAATTCAAAAATTTGAGTGTAGGGGACCAGTAAAGCCTCTGAAGACCTGTCACTTGTCACAACAGTGGCAAAACCGGTCAAAAATTAAACCAAAAAACCAAACTGGAAACCAGGCTTACCGCGAGTAAATGCGCCGACCGGTTCTCAATCTCGCCTATCATGTCACGCGCATTTGCCGAAGCCGGTAATGCTTCCGCCACACTGGCCCCGGAATCCCGCCGCGAATCTCTCCGCATTAACGAATGGTAAAACTCTACCACCTCAGGAATCCTCCTCACCTTCGCTGAACCCACTCTTAGTCCCTTCGGCGGCGGCGGAGGCGGCGGAGGTGCCGACTTTGATAGGGGAGGAAGTGGTTTAGGAAGAGGTGGCGGCGGTGGCGGGGGCGGAATCTGTTTTTCCGATGTAAGTTTATTATGAGATGAAACTGAGGCAGCTGAAGATGGTTTTGGCGGTGGATTTGGAACACGAGGAACACGGGATCTGATACTGGAATGAGTCGACTCGAACGAGTAAGCCAGTTCTTCGGAGTTACACCGCGAGTGAGAATATGTAGGTTTCTCGCTTTCTGAGTCTTCTCGTTTGGAGTCTTGCCTTTCAAGCTTATGATTATTAGTATCAGAACTTGAACAAACAGAACTTTCTGCACATTTAACTCCTTTTTTCAAATTCTTGATGAGGTTTGACTTCACTGTGATTTCCATAAGTCCCTGAAACCTCTGAGAAGAAGAAAGCTCGTCACTTTCTATTGATGATGACTCTGTTTTGCTATGATCCGACACCGCTTTCTTCAGCTCTTCAATTTCTTCTTCCATTTCTTTTATTTTCCTTTCACTTTCTCTCTTACTCTCCTCGAGCATTTCTTTTAGTCTTTCATTTTCCGATTGCAAAGACTCGATCATTTTCAAAGAGCGTTCAAGCTCAGCGTTTTTAGAAGAGATCTCGTTTTCAAGAACTGGAACAATGGCTACCGTTTCTTTTAGCAGCTTCTGACCAAGAAGTTCAGTCTTTAAGAGTGATTCTCTCTCTCGGAGCTCTTCGACGAGGCGGAGCAGCTCGGTGACGTCAGGTGGGCGAGGCTGGACTTGTGCGGAGGAGCGAGGGAAGTATACGCCGAATGAGCGTGAAAAGGCTGGCTTTTGAGAAGAGCCCTTGGCTGAGCTAGGCGAAGGTGAAGGTGGCTTCAGTGGCGGAGGTTCTTGTTTTGGGTTTGCAGGTGACTTCTGCAAACCCATTGCCATTCTCACCTTACCAGCCACCATTGAAAAGGTTAGTTTAGTTGAGTGCAGTTACAGTCCTATTGTTTAGAACAAAGATACCAGTACCACTGTCTGAATGTCTAGAAAGACAGAGTGGCCTGAAAATTGGACTTTGTTCGTAAAGATTAAGAGAGAGAAGGTTACGAGGGAACTCACTCTAAACTAAAGAGGTGACACACTTTTCGAGGAACGGTCTTCTTCTCTCGGATCCAGTTTGAATTAAATCTTTTTAAAAATAATTTCCTTCTCGACTCGAGTAGATAAAGCTTTAAACTCGCTCGCTCAAACTCCAGCCGGACCATGAAACGGGTATGCTTTTAACTTTTTTTTTTTTCCACTTAAAACTTTAATTTATTTAATCTGCATCCACGGTAACTAAGGAAACCATATGGAATCGAAATATTGAGTTAACGAACTTTTTCCCATCAGAATAATAGTTTAATTATACTTTTTCACCCATAAATTTTTAAAATATCACTTTATTATCTAAATGAGAGTTAACTCATTTTAGATTGTTACGGTTTTTAAAAAGAGAAGATAGATGAGTCTTTTGGTAATATAAGATTAGATTTTGATGATTGAGATTGATCAAAATTTGATTTAGGAGAGATGACTATACAAATCCTAATCGCTCTATTGTTGATGATTGATAGGATCAAAGGGAGTAGGGTTTGAGATTTTTGTGAGTGATGATCAAGAAATAAAAGGTTGTGGTGTGGGTCACAATAATGTTAAAATAAAAAACGAAATATAAATTTAGATAGTAAAGTGATATTTTAAAAATTGTGAGTGAAAAATATTATTTAGGTGGGAAAAAGTTGTTTACTCTCAAAATATTTAATCTATGTATAATTAAATTCATTATATCTATAAGATTTAAAAACACATTATAATTTTTAAATAAAAAGTTCTTATAGAAAATCAAAATTTAAATCTATGACAATAGTAATTTTATTACTGGATAAGGTTCATTAATACATAACTAATAACATTTATATCTTCAAATACTTTGAATAAAAGGTTTTTGAGTGAATATGTCTATCATAGTAACTCTTAGATTAAATTAAATTTTAATGATACAAAAATTGTTAAAATAAATAAAAAGAAAGTAGTTATTCCAACATAATAAATATTTAACTTCCGAATCCAAAAAACCTAACGCGACCCAGCAGGTCACAACCATTTCGTGAGTGAGGCGTGGGCTTTGTAGGCGCGTGGGATTTAAGTGCCGATCTCTGGTTTTGGGCGTCTCGTGAATAGAATTTGAGAATGCAAAACCAAACGGTGCAAATTTGAGGAACCAGGACTGTCTCTCCAACGGTCAGCTTAGTTAAAATATTCAGTTCGTTCATAATTATCGCCAATTTCCCACGATATTTACAAGTCCTGATGTTATCTCGTTTATTTACCAAGAAAAAAAAAAAAAAAAAGTCAGAGCAACGTTGAAGGGTTCTGACCAATGAGCTTAATTAAATAATAATAACTGCTTATACGGGAATTGTCAGCATATGCACTCACAAAAGACACTACACGGCAATACAAAATACAAATTTTGAACTCTCTCTGGGTCCCTGCATATTATTACTTAAAAATTTTATTATTAATAGGAATAATTATTAAAATTTTTATTCGATAGATAATTTTAGAATTTCGAAGGATTAATTAAAATACACGTAAATTAACTCGAATATCTGGATCATTAAAAAAAATATATAATTTGTGATTCAATTTATTTTCTTTATACAAAGATGAGAAATATATATCTTTTGTTTCATATCAAAAAAAATTTATACTTTTGTAATTTAAGGTAAAAACCCTAATAATGCTCATAAGTTGTAACAATATTTGATCAACATTTAGAAGTTTATATAGATGGTGGCGAATTTTAAGCTCCTGTGAACGACTTTCAGGTGGGGTGGTTGCATAAACTTGTCCTTGGGTAATCAGTAGGTTATTGGCATATGCATTGGAGTTACATGGTTGATACGTCACTTTCAGTACTGTAAATTGCTTAAGAATTAAGACAGATTACAGACACCATTTCTAGTCTTTGAGAGAACTTTTTTTTTGCAATTTGTTTGTTTGTTTGTTTGTTTTTGGTTTCATATCCTTTCATTGCCAGGAGATCTGTTGATTAAAGATGGCAATGAAAAGGGCTTAGAAATGAGTGCATGTGAGCTGTTATAGAGTTTTCCATGATATTGAAGTTAGATTAGATGTCATTCAATTAATTTATCTAACTCCCNAGCTTTATAATTATAGTAAATGTAAATATGAATTAAAAAAGTTTGGCTTCCCTGGCATAGCTCAAACTATAGTCATCTTGATTTGACTAAACATTACAGAGCTTTAGTTCAAATATTTCTGCTACTAGGTGATCTCCATCTTGATTTATCGCCTCTCTCTCTCTCTCTCTCTCTCTCTCTCTTCTTTTCTAGATTAAAATTTTCTGCAACTAGCAAATCTCGTTGAGTGATGAGTTCTTTTAATCCCGGAAACCTCTCATTATATAATATCTTTTCTTCATTCTTTTAACCCATAAGAAATAGTTAAAGAATTGAGATACCTATTAAATTTATTTAAATCATCATGAAGATTTGTACTTTTATTCATATTTAGAAAATATAGATCCATTTTCAAACATAGTCGATTAATCAACCATTTCAACACATAAATGTCCTCCAATTTTTCTTACAAATTCTTTGGTGTAGACTCAATCAGCATGCCATACTTTAACTCTGAAACAGTTTGGCCAATCAATTTAGCCTACATACATTATCCATTGAAATAATCTATTAAACAAAAACTTACAATTATGCAAATTTTAGAGAAGAAAAATTACAAACCCCTTATACTATCCCAAAAGTCCAATTACGCAGTAAATAATAGCCCACTATAACTACTCTTTTAAAGTTTTTCCTTCATCTTTTTGAGATATTTTAAAAGTCTTAAACTGTTAGTAGGAAAGTCCCCTTGCAACTCTCATTCCCAAGCAAACGCACTATCTCAACAGTAACTAATGGGATGCAGGAGCATTTGAAAAAGAGCATTAATTGCAAAAATTGAAAAGTTGGGTTCAGTTCGTCAGGAATATCGGATTTAAGACCCCAGTCCCCAGCATCAGTCATCAAACCAATCGGCTATGTTTTGTGTTGAACCTTCAGCATTTGAATCTAGAAAAGCTAATTCCAGCAACAACATTTCAATTCAGGCGAGTCACAAATATATATTGGTCTCATAAAACATCTAAAATCATCAGGTTCGATTAATCATTATTATGTAATTGCCACATGAATTTCATCGTTTTCTGTAGTGAGGAAATTGGCCTTGAACTTCGAATCGTCCAGCTGGTGACATTCAATGCCAATTGCCGAAGCTGAACAAATACCATCAGAACTGATAGGAAAGCAAGTAACATAAGTAGAAAGAAGGATTTTATAGAGTAAGTTAATCTAAAATAATGGACTGTTTTTAAGTTAGAGGATTGCAGAAAATGTTGCGGCACCACATCCTATTTACTGGTTTATATTTTGAAACAGCTTCTTGTGTTAGAAGGTGCGATATTTTGTTAAATACGACAGGCATCAGAAGTAAAAAATAATTTGATATAGGATCATTTAATCTTACTTTAATACTAAATGATAAATCCATCTTAATGCAAGGTGGGATTTGCAATCGTATCACAGACACAGTGTTCTATCTTTACAACAGAAAAACTGGTGGCATTTTGAAGCTAAGTTTGCTACAGATTAGCAAGTTGTAGACCTGCATACAATTTCTGGTGAGGTTGGTTTTGGCATTGAACGTGGCATGATCTGGCTTTATCTCTCAGCTCTTGGAATGCCTCATTGTTTCCACATCAAATCCTCCAGCAAACTGTCAAAATAATAATGTATTAGTATCATCTCCTCATCAGTAAATACTGAAATAGTGCGACTTTGATTTGGTACCTGATGTACACGGAAAGCAAAACTAACACCTTGCACAATTAGTCTCTTCTTCGGGGCTACACACAACCATTTCAAGCTCAGCGGAAACTCTCTTCATATACTTCATAGCTAATTTACAGATGCCAGTTTAATCTGCAATTATGCACACCATTGTTGCACAATTATGAGCCAAAGATAATAATAGAGGTAAACAACATCATGCTCCAAAACATGAAGAAAACTGTAAGAAGATTTTGATCTATTATTTTAAAATACAGATATAAATCTTAGCATAAACCCAGATTGACAAATATGTCAATACAACTATCTGAACAGGATAATATTATTCTAATATTCAACTAAATATAAGTGGGTTCAAACGAGAAATATAAATATATCTATAATTTTGGTGATGGGATTATAAAATAAATTTATAACACACGAATTGGATCATTATTTTCTTAAAGTTTCTTCCTTTCTCTATGCAATTTTTAAAGAGAATCAACAAGGTCTTAGATCTTTCCTGTCCTTTTAAGCAAAAAATGGATATAAAAACATGGATGAATTTCGAAGAAAGAGAATCTGACAAATAATCTTAAAGTGAAAAAGAGGAGACAAGCAAATAAATTTAGAATCTGGGTATTCACATGTGCGCATGCAGGCTGGGCAGAGAAAATGAGGCATAATTTAACCTCCTTGTCATCTTGCAACCGACTACTACTACTATCCCTCTTACCATAATAATAATACAAAGAGACAATGTCAAAACAATTTTCTCTGTACCTCTCACAAGATTTGTAAACCAGATTACCTTGAAAAAACACCTAAATGATAACTTTGTATTTATCTTATTTACTTTTTATTTTTTAATGATTGGAGATGTCCGGACAAACTTATATAACTAATCTTTCAAAGTCTAATCGAAGCAACTTGGTCACCAGAGGATAGATTTGTTACTATATCTTAGCTTGAGTAGAAATGACTAATGAGTGACCCAATTATCACCCATTTGGTGCCGTCCCATAACGAAATTTTATTATTCTACAGGTTAATTGTAAGCTAAGCATCATTAAATTGAATTAGTTAGTAGTTATTTACCTGGCTTACAATTCCAGTTTCCAGCATCCAGTCCATGGGAATTTGAAAACCTTTGTATCTCTTAGCGGCGGATTCTCTCATTCGTGAGAGATTGTAAACACCATGCTCTAACCTGTTGCAGAAAAAATTAGCAACTAATGTTTGATTAAATGAAATAAAATTGATT